ATATCAAACTGGACTGTTTCTGTTGCAAATATCAATCCATTGTCTCCCATTCCATTGCTCATGCGTTTTCTAACAAAATCCATTGTGTTCTCGCTCTTCTTTTCTTGATCTTCTCCTCATCTTCTGATCAATATAAGTAGCACGCACCACATACCTTTTATTTTCAAACTTTTTTTGCTTGCTTGGGATAAGTGAATTATTGAGTCACATATTTACTCCTTCCTAACAGTATTTACATTTTACATATTCGTATCATTTTACTACATATAACGATTCAATTAGCCAACGCACTTGTTTTATCGTTTGATACTCTTCTTACCAAAGTGATCCAGGTTTTTAGCATCAACAATACGGTTTACGTGATTAATTGTCACTCGAACCCTTTTTCCATGTCAATGCATACAAATGATAGCATGTTCACATTGTTTGATCTGTTAAAGCACATTCATTATTAATGCGATTTACTCTTAATTACTTGAATAAATCAATAGTATTATATACCCCAAACTGTATGAAAACACACATCACGAAAGTAAGTTCAACCAACAAGTTGACAATTCCTTATTCCTTGTAATTTGCCTGGTTTTCACATAAAAATACAGTGAAACTACTGCAGAGAGATAAAAAAGACTGCCAATCAACGTAAACTATGTTTGAATTAGAATCCATCCCAAGTTGCGAGGTCGTGGATATGCAGTGCTGAGGAGTCCCATATTATGATGAAAGATCTGTCCAATGCTTCTAAGTTGTCAATGGTTCTTTAACCTAGATCGGTTGGTGATTTCAATCGAAAACAAAAATGTTATGAATTAGCCTTTTATCAAAAGACGTCTGAAAACTGTCAAAATTAATGGATGAAATCATTTGACAGACTGGTATCATACAATGTGGCTCGTTAATGGCTGTGCATGAGACCGAATTATTGACATATGAAGAAAAAGTAGATGATTTGCAGAGTAGTTCTCCTCTTAAAAGTTCGCACACCTACATAAAAAATACTGAACATGGGAATAAGCATGATTAGAGGTCATTTAACTGATAAACAATTGTAGGATATATTATATATAGGTCATTTACTCTCCAATGAAATCAACGTTTAAATTTTAGGTATACTATGGTGTGTGCTACTTATATCGACATAAGTAGTATATAACGCTATTCAGGAATAGAATGTCTGGCAGCAGGAGGTCAAGAAGATCGAGGAGGAAAGAACAGGAACAGAAAGAAATTGATATGGAAATGTAGGAACAATTAAGTCTGAGACGATTGACTGATATTTGTAAAAGGAACAATCAAGTTTGAAACAATTGATTAACATTTTGCAAATTCAGTGTTTACTGTATGGTTCTTAGATATTACTAAAATGTTCTGTAATTTAGTGTTCACATATATTAGGTTGTGCCCACTAATATTCTCACTCATTACACTACTTGTTTCCACGTTATCTCTAAACGGCGTTATTAAATACGACCAAATAATACGTCTGATAATTCACGTCTTATCCAATAGTCGAGATTACTTTTTTCCGCGAACACAACATTTTCTTTTCTATCAACATCATCTTGTTACTCAGAGAAGATCTGTCGAGGACTGCATCAATGTACACCATAACTTAGTTGGAAAGTTTGTAATTTACAGGAATCCTCGGTTTACGCTAGATGCTTGCTAATGCACCAGTCATTGAATAGTAATTATTGTTACGGTAACTAGTATTCTATTTGTTGATTTGATCACGCATAACTGTCCTGCAACTTGACCCTAACCTAATCATCATTAAACACCTAAGTAGATTAGTTATTGAACATAAGTAATGTACTTCACATTCACTATAATCTATGGAGATTCACAGATTCTTCGACTGATTTTAAATTTCTTACCCGATATTCTATATCAGGTTTCAACAGTGACTATTCACATGAACGTTGGATATTACTTCATTGTAATTTATTTTAATACAAGAGAATGGAATTTCGCATAACTTACTAACTTATGCCTGTTACTCCTCGTGAAGGAGCATAGGCCGCTTACCAGCATTCGCCATCCAACCCTGTCCTGGGCAGTCCTTTCAAGTTGTTATTCATTCTTTTCATGTCTGCTTCTATTTCCCGAAGTAGTCTGTTCTTTGGCCTTCCTCTTTTCTGCTTCCCTTCACGATTCCAAGTTAGGGCTTGCCTCGTGATGCAGTTTGATGATTTGAGTAATGTATGTCCTATCCATTCCCATCGTCTTTTCCTAATTTCCTCTTCATCTGGAAGTTGGTTTGTTCTCTCCCAGAGAAGGTTATTGCTGATGGTATCCGGCCAATGGATGTTGAGTATCTTGCGTAGACAGCTATTTATAAATACTTGTACCTTCTTGATGTTGGTTGTTGTAGTTCTCCAACTTTCAGCTCCGTACATTAGAACTGCCTTGACGTTCGTATTGAAGATTCTCACTTTGATATTGGTTGAAAGTTGTTTTGAGTTCCATATTTTCTTCAATTGTAGGAATGCGACCCTTGCTTTGCAAATCCTCACCTTTACGTCTGCATTTGATCCTCATTGTTCATTGATGATGCTTCCCAGGTATGTGAAGGATTCTACATCTTCCAGAGTTTCGCCATCAAGTGTGATTGAATTGGTGTTATCCGTGTTGTATTTGAGGACCCTGGTTTTCCTTTTGTGTATACTGAGGCCTACTGATGCAGAGACTCCTGCTACACTGGTTGTCTTTATCTGTATTTGTTCATGTGTACGTGATAGGAGGGCTAGGTCATCTGAGAAGTCCAAATCGTCTAATTGGTTCTGAGCTGTCCATTGTACGCCGTGTTTCTCCTCAAATGTCGAGGTCTTCATAATCCAGTCGACCACCAGAAGAAAAAGGAAGGGAGAGAGTAGACAGCCTTATCTGACTTCGGTCCTTACTTGGAATGCATCTGTTTGCTGTCCTCCATGCATGACTTTGCAGTGTGGTCCGTTGTATGAATTCCCGATGATATTGACGATCTTATCAGGTAAAGCATAGTGTCGAAGAAGTTTCCATAATGTCCTTCTATCTGCATTGTCCAACGCCTTTTCATAATCAATGAAGTTGATGTACAGTAGCGAGAATTTCGCATAACAATCTCTTATATCTTACTGTCGTATATGTAATGATTTTCAAATTTATAGCCTAGTATACATACATATAGAACATTATCAATATAAGAGAATAGGTTTCACAAGTTATTATAATTATTTGTTGAACAAATATAGCTTGCTTCTAGTTTATTACATATGAAAAAAAGTATAATACAAATGACGTTTTAATAAAATTGATATCTTTTTATGATTATTATGTTGTTGATTGTATACGATAATTAGAAGTATTCGAATTAATGTGCTAAGAATTTCTGAACGTGTAATTTAAGGCAGGTAGGACCACATGAACATAAATGAACGTATTATAACTAAAATTTTCTTCCTTCCATTAAACTTAGAACATGCAACTATCAAAACTTTGAGTAAAACATCAGATTGTATATGTTCTTTCAAACACTAAATATTCTTCATCGTGTTGATTTCATGGTTTGATAAATTGAATAAACAAAATCCAATGTTGACCCCGATTATTTAAACATTTAACTGAATTATATTGTTCAGAATATATATATATATATATATATATATATATATATATATATATATATATAATTTTGAATGATTTTTTTTGGTTAGCGTTTTTTTAGCGAGTTAGTTTTCTACGTGATGGAGACGCTAACCCATGCCCAACCATTCTCCTTTATCCGGGCTTGGGACTGGCAGGGTGCCTCCAGGCAGAGTGCCTCAGAAGATAGTCAATATCATACAGAACTCATATGATGGATTACACTGCGAAATCGTGCATGGAGGACAGTTGTCAAAGTCGTTCGAAGTGAAGACCGGTGTCAGGCAAGGTTGCTTACTCTCACCCTTTCTCTTTCTCCTGGCGATCGACTGGATCATGAAGACGTCAACGTCTGAAAGCAAACACGGGATACAATGGACATCTACGATGCAGTTGGACGATCTAGACTTCACAGATGATCTGGCCCTTCTATCCCAAACGCAACAACAAATGCAGGAGAAGACGACCAGTGTAGCAGCAGCCTCAGCAGCAGTAGGTCTCAATACACACAAAGGGAAAAGCAAGATTCTCCGATACAACACAGCATGCACCAATCCAATCACAATTGACGGAGAAGATTTGGAAGATGTAAAACCCTTTACATATCTGGGCAGCATCATTGATGAACAGGGTGGATCTGATGCAGATGTGAAGGCGCGGATCGGAAAAGCAAGAGCAGCATATTTACAACTGAGGAACACCTGGAACTCAAAGCAACTGTCAACCAACACCAAGGTCAGGATTTTCAACACAAATGTCAAGACAGTTCTACTGTATGGGGCAGAAACCTGGAGAACTACGAAAGCCATCATCCAGCAGATACAGGTGTTTATTAACAGCTGTCTACGCAAAATACTTCAGATCCGTTGGCCGGACACTATTAGCAACAACGTACTGTGGGATAGAACAAACCAGATCCCAGCGGAGGAAGGAATCAGGAAGAAGCACTGGAAGTGGATAGGACACACATTGAGGAAAGCACCCAACTGCGTCACAAGGCGAGCCCTCACACGGAATCCTCAAGGCCAAAGGAGGAGAAGAGGAAGACCGAAGAACACATTACGCCGAGAAATGGAAATAGACATGAGAAAAAAGAACAAGTATTGTATGGAACTAGAAAAGAAGGCCCAGGACAGAGTGGGTTGGAGAATGCCGGTCGGCGGCCTATGCTCCATTGGGAGTAACAAGCGTAAGTAAGTTTTATCTATATATATCTATATATATATATATATAGTGTCACTAAAGTTTGCGAAAACCTGCGAACACTTTATTAACTCAACTGTAATATGGTAAGTAGTCTGTGCTAAATTAGTAAGTGTTACATTTTAATTTAGCGTAAACATATAAATTTACACACTACACAAACTGGAGTACAGATGGGAAATGCATGCTGTAAACTTTATTGTTTAGAACATAGTATACAACTAAATGGTTTGATACTAACTATTGAATTCTTTAATCAACAAGGTAGTATGTTGAGTACAATTTTCTCCAGCGAAATTCCGGAAAATACGCATTAAATGTTTTATTTATAGATTTAGGACCTAGTGTTATTGATGAAGTGAGAACTGATCCACGCAAACAACTATTTCATCCAGAACAAATAATCACAGGAAACGATGCGACAAGTAATCATCCTCGAGGCCACTATACGATAAGCAAAGACAGTATTGACCTGGTTCTTGATCGCATTAGAAAATCTGCTGATCAGTGTACGGTTTTCTTAATTTTTCATTCATTTGAAGGAGGTACTTGGTCTGGATCACATCATTGTTAATGGAGAGATTGAGCGTAGAATATGGTAAACAGTTTAATCGTGAATTCGCTGTTTATAAAGCAATAAAGATTGCTACAGCTGATGTTGAACCATACAATACAATTATTACCACCCATGCAACACTAGAGAATCCAGATTGTGCTTTCATGGCGGATAAACGGGCAATTTACTATATTTGCGGGTAACTAACATGTGACAGTTACAAACCAGTTGAATTTTATTTTTCTCAGGAAAATTAATCTATTTGTTTATTTAAACGCAAATGTTAGTGCGAGGGAGCAACAAATACACATGCGCCACACTTTAACATATGATTTGTGTGAGGGACGGGATATCGCGCGAGTGCCCAAACCGAAGTAGGTAGTTTTCTAAGGGGGCCACACCCGGAGTCTTAGACCTAAAGGTTCAACCCATAAGACAGCGGAGAAACGTAAGGAGATGCATTGTCGTGGCAGCCGGTGACCAACAATAGGTTTATACGCCATTTGGTTCTTCAGAATCCTGGAGCCCATGTTCACCATTGGTTCGAAATCAGGGTCTTCCAACCCCCCTAAGTGGGCCTCCATATCCATCGATCCGGTGAAAGCACCGGACATTCGCCTTTTGTCCTCTCAATCTCGTAAACAAGACCCCCACCTCGAGGCGGTGAGGACTTTCCTGGTAGTGGTTGTATATGTGGCCATGTAAGAGGATTTCGGGAGGGAGAGCGGACTTCCCACCCTCGACTGTATTCGGGCATTCGGGGGCCGTAACACAAGAAGACCTAATTATTCAAATCTAACGAGACTGATCGCTTGAATTTTTACTTCCATCACTGCTTTAATTTTCTTTCAAATGATTAAACTTGACCTACATACTGGGAAATATATGGCGTATTGCTTATTATATCGTGATGTTACTCCTAAAGATGTTAATATGGTCATGGCAAGTAGAAGAACTAACGGAACAGTCCAATTTGTTGTCCAACTGGATTCAAAGTTGCAGTTAATTGTCAACCTCCAGCATCCAGACATAATGGTGACTTAGCTAAAGATCAAAGAGCTGTACGTATGCTAAGTAATACAACTGCAATTTCAGAAGCATGGATGAAACTGGATGATAAACTTGATTTAATGTATTCGGAACACGAATTTGTTCATTGGTATGTAAATGAAGGTATGAAAGAAAGTGAATTCAGTGAAGCATAAGAAGATATAGCTACTTTAGAAAAGATTATGAAGAGATTGGTCAATAAACACTTAATAGAGGTGAAAACGGATTTCGACTGTTACTTTTACAGGAGCTTCACCCAGTCAGTCACAACGTACAACTTCGCACGTACGTACATCTGTTCGAGTTGCTATACCACATTAGCAGAGAGATACAATTGTCGATTCAAATCCCATGGTGGTAGAGGCAGTAAAAGTATAAGCAGTGATCAGAAAGATTAGGGTTTGAAGATGTTATGCAAGGAGTATAATCCAGTGAAATAAATTTGGAAAGAGAAGAAAGGGCACGAAGAATTCAGAAGATTGGAATATGGGAAAACACAAAGAGTGGATGCACCTGCGCCATCGCAAACGATTTTGAGTCATGTCATTCAAAGTCTCTAACCATCGTCTCGCAAATCCCAACCAGGTAGTCTACACCTGCCAACATGGCTCAGTCCATTTGTCAATGACTTCACGGATTTGTGCCATGTTTGGTCTCGCGATCCCTAGCTTTATTCCAACCTATTCCTAAACTATAAAACATAGCACGTCTGTGGTTGGGGATACGTAACAAGTGTCCCGGCCATCTCAACTGATGAAGTCTCACTACTTCAATTGATTCGCCATCCTTACCTAGTACCCGTTTCCTAACAACTATATTACTTATTCGGTGGTCCCAGGATATACGAGCAATGTTTCGAAAACAGCTATGGTCGAATACTAGTAACCTACTGTTATCCTCCACTCTTACCGGCCATGTTTCACTGCCATAAAGTAGGACGGAACGAACTGCTGCGCAGTAAACACGTCCTTTGGTTGATAGACGGATATCTCACCTACACCATAAATGACTCAGGTTGGAAAAAGCTAGTTGAGCCTTCTTTATCCGTGCTGAGATTTCGTCACACACCAGAACACAAGAGTTGATGAGATTCCCAAGATAGGTGAAGCGGTCGACACGCTCAACTACTTCACTCCCCATCATTAGTTCAGGTGTCCATTCAACCCAATCCTGAAGCAACATTTTGCATTTCGAGGAGGGGAATCGCATCCGAATATGCTTGCATTGTTGCTTAGAGTGGTCAGAAGACTGCATTCTGTAAGCGTCTTCACCAAAAAGAACTGTCATCGATATATTCCAAGTCAGTAAGTGAATCTTCCGGTAAAAGTTCAGGAGCCTCACTAACTACTGAGAGCAAATCAATTGCGATCAGTCAGGTATATTCAGACGTAATGATCACACCTTTTGTTTGGATAATTATTTGCAATACATTGTTCGTTTTAACTATACTCTTTCAATGGGTCAACACGTTATCAAATGGATAATATATGTATGGTTTATCATTTTTGTACCTTAACGCTACGCAAGTGTAGAAGATTGTATGAAGTAGTGGTAGTCTATGGGATACCCAAAACACCTGTATTCGTACCAATGAACTAAAAGGAGGCGGCATCCCAGCATTATGTGACTATACGGTGATGCATGTTACTTATGTTGATAGGTATGAACAGTATATAGCACCGGTTAGAAGTGCCTGAGAGCAGAAGAATGATAACACAGAAAACTAAGAGCAATCGAGATAACAGACATGAAGGAACAACGAAGTTTGTAAGAAAAAATTCGAAGATGTGCAAATTACGTATCTAATGTATAGTTTTCACATTTCACTGAACCACTGTGACTTCGAACTGAACAAACTAGTTCGCCCACCTGAGTTCTTCGTTTACAACAGTACTACATCACCAGTAGAAGACGACTACGAAGAAGCTCAAGTATCCTTTAGAGATACTATACCGTAGAGACCCCTTTCCATCCGGTTCCTATAAACCCCGCATCCGTACTCTAGACATCGTGACCATGAAAAAAACTCAATATTTTGATTAGTTAAATAAGCTCGCATAGGTTAATTCATTGGACCCGATGGAATACAACCTAGATTCTCAAAAATCCAGCAGATTTCTATTGCGAATCTCTTAAACATGTTTCGATCTACTTATAACCCAAGGTAGATTAGTAAAGAACTGGAAGAATGCCAAATTAAGTCATGTCTTCGAGACAAGTACGAAATAAACCTGAGAAACATAGATATGCAAGGCCAACCAGCGTGGTCGTTTAGATTTTAGAGGTTATTTGGAAATATCTAGTCCTTTCTGAAAGGTAGCACGGTTTCAGGAAGCCCGTGAAAGTTGGTGTTATATCGACTAAAGGGTACCTATGAATGTAGCCTTCATCGACTGCAGTAAGGCTTCTGACAAACGTCTACACATCATTCTGTTATTTAAATCAAATGATATCGGGATTAGAGGCAACTTATTTATGTGGATAAGAACTTTCCTCGTTGGGGATCAATCCCAGGTGTTCTAACCCAGAGACTGTACTTAGTGGAGTCCTGGGATAGTTTCGGTACGTATTGTTCCTACAGTATGTAAATAACCTTATCCTATCATCGAATTCGTTATATGCTGACGGTATCAAGAAATGGGGAGCGACAAAATGAAAGATTAGAGCCTCAAAATGACATGCAGCCATCTCATTACTCTAAAATTTGTCAATAACGGCACCCATGTGTGATATAATGCATATTGGTCATCAAAACACAGATACATACATGACAAGTGACACTAAGCAACCTGTTCCTCAGAAACAATGACGTGAAGGTCATCGTTGGTTAGAACTTGAAAACTCCACCTTGCTATGCAATAGCTGCCTACGGTCTCAGAAACCTCTGGTCATAACGTGGAGCCGGCGGTCATGTCGATGTTGAGACCTTTAAGACTTCACCGTGTTTATTTGGCCTAAACCTGAATAATGCATACAAGCAGCCATCCCGTCCAAAATAAGAGAGTGAACTGATGGCAAAGATACAGAGTACAAAACTGCCGTAAACGAGACTATCTAAACAGAAGGAGCGGAGGTGACTTGACCACATATTCTAAATTATCTAATGATGAACTAGCGAATAACATGCCAACATCCTTGTCTCTCAAAACGAAATTTACGAGAAATTCCTGGAAATACTAACCCATTTGGCTAAATCGTCTCAGTTTGTGATGAAAACCCTCAATATAGTTCCTAACCTTGAAGATCAACTATAAATCATAATTCTAGTTCTTCGCCCTGGTTTATAAACCTTATTTGGTCCTAGTTAGTAGGTGGGTATCCTCAAGATCACTTTAGCGTCTCTAGGTCCTAAATAAATTATAGTCCCACCCAAATTATTTGTCAAGTGCTTATCAACTTTCTCATCGAGTCATCAACAATGAAGCTTATCCACTCAACACGTGGTTAAAACTTCATCTTTTGACGCACTCAAAAGATGGGTCGGCTGAGACCAACGCCGCTTGGACTAAAAAAGGTGACCCGCCCTTCTATATTTTCTAGACTGAGACTAATGTGACTGAGGAATGTCTTTACAAGACAATTATTAGCATAAAGCGTACCTAATGGTCTGAACAAAACCCCGCTAATCTTAGGAGCAGTTACAACGCTCAATCCGTCAGTCTTCATCCTGAAACTATGTGCTTACCATCGATAAGCATATTTAACGTCATTACAGTCATCTATTCGAAAAGAGGATGATTTGACCAGGAATTTATTACATGGACATATTATTTAAGAGGGATAAACCTGGAACTGTGAGTAGCACCAACACCAGGTCTGCCATGCTTGACAGGCTTATAGGTTATTGAAAATTCTCCGAGGTAGTGGCCGAGCATTTCAGGTCTGATCTCGACAGTGTTAAATGACTTTCCGTTATAAACACCAACAACTGATCCGATCATCTCGGGAAGAACAATCATATCTCTGATATGAGTTTTGACAGCCTGAGGACAATATATTTAATAGGTACTTACAGCCGGCTTTTCACCAAAAGGACATTCTTTCTTGCTTTTCCTTAGCTTTTTTAGAAGCGTCATGTGTTTATTACGAAGTTTTTTTTTAATTCTTCTGCGTATCCGAGCAGGCATCAGCTGAGCTAATTGATCCCTAACAAAAAATTTCGGTTATATTAAAAAAACTACTCACAAGTTCATATCCAGAAGCTGGTCTAAATCAACGCCTCGATAGAAGAACTTCTTGAAGGGTCTACGTTTCTTGACGGTTTCTTCAGCCTACGGGCGCTAGAAATATAAGAATCCGCAACTTACCATTACGAAACTGAGGTCGTGATTTTCTAACTTTGCCGCCTCAGACAGAAAAGTGAGTTAAAGATTTCAAGGCTATCTAATAGTGAAAATCTAGTGCTAACTGATACAATCTCTCACATTTTAAAGACAGACTAGCGTGAAGCTTCCAATCAGGAAACTAAAATATTGGGTAACTGGACACTTTGTGATTACTTTCTAAGCCTAAATAGTTTTCTGATATTAGGTAGTGATGAAAACTTAAATATTTTACAGCAATAATGCTAGTCGGAGTTTGGTATATTTTGAGAAATAGTCGGTTTGTTCCACTTGAACGAGGCTACTTTTATAGGCTGTCGTTGCTTCACTATACGTTCGTTCGTTCGGTCATGAAATGAAAGGCACAGTGGACAGTAGGAATAGTACACACAGAAGATAAAATAATAGTCTTAAGAATTCAATTTATCCGTATATCCAGTGCTATGGCAGTAGAAATTTTAATGAATCTTCAAAACAAATAGTTCTTCAAGTCGTCGACACTGATGCTAACCTCATTAATTTTACCGAACCCACCCTAGCTCAAGGCGCTCGTTCACGAATCCTCAACAGATCACTGCAAGATATGAAGCGCTGCGCACCTGTTGAAGCAGCTACACACCTTCAATCACACTCCCTTCAACACACTAGCAGATACTACTTTTTCTACTCTAGATACCACTGAGCTAATGAGTATGGGCAGGTAATTTTGAACATTGGTTTCAGGTCCTGTCTTAATTTTGATGATCATATATGCAGTGTCCCACTTTCGTCCCAATAAAAATATTACATATGATTAATTTGCGCAAAGTACTCAATGTTTTTGGAGAGCTGTGATGATCGTACGCCAAAATTCAGTATTTGTTACAGTTATCTACAAATACCCGACGAATATGATGATATTTATCTTGTTTATTCAGACAAAGTCAATGTCACATACAAAAAGGTAAACGTTGCTTTAGTAAGTCAAAGTCGGTTCAATTGTAGTATACTTGTATGCAGAATGCAGCCACTTACCGAACCTTTGAGTATTATAGCGACTCACGTGCAAATGAGTTTAGTCTCATCTAACGCAGTTAAGCCCTTTTGCTAACTCATTTAGCGGACAAAGTCATCCGCACTATAACAACTTATTGTACCCTTATTATTTTGTGCTTGTATGAAATACGTATGCTTGAATATTGCGTACGGCCTACGCATTTATTCACTCTGCTAATCTTACTACTAACTGATTATTTGATTCCATTACTCATTCATTTCACATACTATATATATGTCCATGTTATTCATATTCAACACTCACTCACTCACACACTCTCGTCTCGCTCTTGCTATGGCTCTCGCTCGCTTGCTTGCCTTTCAGCACAACTCTTCTATGCTTGCTTAACGCATCTGTACATTTGGATATATGTGTGTGGTCTCGTAATAAACGTAATCAACACTTCGTATTTGCCTTCTGATTAATAAACCGTTGGGAAGTTATATAGAACGGTTATCAAGACGAGCTGTATACGAAATTTAAAGATTATATCGAATACCGACCACCACAGTATGAAGCACATACAAATATCCCATTCAAGTGCTCTGGAGACAAAGGGAAACTACATGAATCATATGCATTGTTACTGTCAAGTCGAAGTGTAAAATGTGCCTATTTATATTGTGAATGTAATAATGGTATCGTCTTTTTTGTATGAAAGATGGAAATAGTACAACGTGTAATCTTGCCCATACAGATTAATGTAACATAAGAGTCTTTTCATCTTCACGTATGCCCACACGCCCCAGTACTCTAATATAATGAAGGCGTGAGTAGTGTTGGGACAGTTTAGGTCAATAAAGTCACATTATTTCTAACGTTGGTACATGAAGATTTTTACATCATTGTTGTGTAATAACATTGGGTACTCAACTATACTTGAAAGTATATGTACATACAGTATGAAAACTGAAGGACCTAGAACAGGGCCTTGAGGTACTCCAATAAGTACTGGTTTCCGAGCGGCGCACTTGGAATTCATTCTTACTTTCTACGGCCTACCAAGAAATCCCTAATTCACTTTAGGAAAGGTCCATCATTATATAGATTTTCCAACTTCAAGATCAGTCCATTTGTTGGCACCTTGTTAAATGTTTTACTGAAGTCTATGTAGACAACATCCACTGACTTACCATTGACTAGAGGCCCTATCTATTTTACCCTTGCAATTCAAAGATTTATTGTGCAAAATAAACCTCTTTTTGAACCATGTTGTTCACTGTTTAACAAGTTGTTGGTTTCCACGAATGTCATTGTGATCTCTCTGATTATTCTTTTCACTAGTTTAACTACGACACTGGTGAGGCTGACAGGTCTCCGTTTGATGGAAATAATCGTGATCCTGTTTTACGTTCGGGAGTGACGATTACATTTCTCCGGTTCATAAGCAACTCAACTTGACCAAGTGGCATACTAAATATAGTGATCAGTGGGGCAGAAAAATATTGTGCAATTAGTCTCAAGACACTAGGGTTCTGTTCATTTGTTCCTGTTAACATTTCCATGCCTAGAGTGCTAATGGCCTTAAGCACGTTGTCTCAATTGAGCTAACTGTATTTATATATTTACTGAGCTTTCTAGATTGTAATTATGCACCTGTGTGATGGTTAGACTTATTTGAATTATTGTACGAACTAGGAATCCCCGAAATAACGCAGGTTAGACCAAGAGGAAGTCGGTAAGCAAAAACGAACGTATTGTATTTGGAATTCGAAATCAGGTAGACATCAAGTACCAAGGAATCATTAGTTAATGCAAACACCACAACTTCTTACTGACCTGTAGCGTTCCATCTTACTTAATGTGTCAAGGCTCATGGTGATGTTCCAACATTACTTCTTTTGTCTTAGCGAACTTCTTTCCGGCTAATGCCCCTGATTCACTTATCCAGTTTGCAGCCGAGGATGTAGGGGTGGTAGCTGTAGAATTATGGTCTACTATGATATTAGTACTGCCCTTATAATAGACCTAATCCTAAAATTGTAGATTTGTCATGATATAACTGCCTAACCTATAAGATCTTACGTGGAAGTAGTAGTCTCGTGTTCACAGCTTTGTGGATTGTGTGGCTATTGTCCAATGCCACTACACTACTCTCCCACCAGAATCAACATGATGTTGGTTCGATACCAAACTGGATGGGATCGTCGCGCGCCGGAGGTTACCAAGGATAATAAGGATCCTCCGGGTATTGATAAGCTGAAAAAGAAATAAAAAAGACGGCAGCATCTGATCGGAAAATACATGTAATAATCTTAAAATATCTGCTTTCATGATTAACACGCTTAAAATGAAAATTTGGTTGAAGATTATTTGAACTATAAAAAATGGGATTACAATAATAATAATAATAATAATAAAACGATGCGTGTTAATAACTTAACTTATAGGCAGTAATTATTTTGTGTTTAGAAATATTAAAATAATGAATATTGTAGAAATGTTAATATTGGTATTAGTTTTGGTTTAAATTATGAAATCGGATAACGATTATGCCGGTAAGTTGTCCATAAGAGTTGAATTCCAATTGCATCTGTATTAGTAGGCTAACTGAAGGAACAAAAGTATACCGTGGAGAAGAATTCCAACTAGTGTTCCAGTTAGTTTGATACGGTTTATTTAGTTACGGTGAGATTTTCTCAACCTCATTTTTACTTGGCCGTGATAGAATTTAGTAATACTACTAATACACATGAATGGTTATCAAAATAAAATTTAAATACATGAGTGATAATTATATGGATTTTGGACAGATAGCTAGGAACAAATAGTTAAACATGAGTGTGTTCGTAAGAGACATGTTCTAGACTCAATGTTCTGATCTGCGATAGACTATTTATTTATATTTATACTTGCCGGCTGATGGGCATGCAAGTTAGTTGCACGTATGCGGGCAGAATACGATTTAAATGAGATATGGTGATTATAAGTTACTGAAATCAGTTAAGCCTATGTCACATTACTAAGTGATGTGGTGCTGTAAGATGTACTCGGCCAAATACGTTTTTACAAGATGATTAACGGTGAGTGATGCTCATGTGATTATCAGGGAGTACATAAGTTGTAACCAAGGGGAGTACACTCCCAACTCATGTCTATGATAATGGCTTGAACCTTAGTCAGTGTTGGGGTAAATTCGACATTAATGTTTTCAGTTTGCAGGAGATTTGCTCGACTGCTTATACTGATTATTTGCATGCATGATTGTGTCGCTAAACCATCAATTAGACTGACAAGGTTTTGAGATATTTACTGAATGAGCAACTAATAGAGAAGCATACTGTAATCATCTGTGATGGATGAAGATACCAAGAAAACAACACCATTTAATGGTAATTATAGGTCAATTTGTTGACCGATTTCGTTAATAGTTTCATTAATTTTATCAATCATATTACGTGATTGTCAAGTCATGACAATGCTTTATGACTATATACTGAAACTATGGAATTTAACTAGTTATAGTGTTGATTGAGGATTAGTCAGTGGAAAAATAGGTATTGTTGCTTTAGGTGATTCGAAATTATCAGAAATTTATAACGCTAAAGAATCCGAGACGCCTAATTTAATTATAAATTTCAATTCAGAAATATTCGTTATGTTAATTCTAGTTGGCTACGGAGCTGTGATTTTAAACGTTTGTTTAGCCAACAACTACCTGAGGATTTAGTTATTTTACTAGTGCAGTTGATAGTACCTAAATTTTTAATCTTATTATCTAAAGTATGTTTGCATTTTAGGCTGCTAATATGATAAATCAATCCATAAACCCAAATACGATTAGCAACAACGACTATGATGGGTTTATTGATAAATGTTAAAGGCGATTCAGGTCATTTCTAAATTTAGAAGACATGAAGATATAGTGTAACGTATGTACGGGCCAGGTTAACAAGCAGGTTGTTGATGTATATGACAATTTAAAAATACTGAACATGACCAGATAAATAAATTTAAAGTTAAGAATGCTTGTGAAACTTCAGGCAGGAATATGACGCGTTATAAACATTCCATAAAAAGTTACTGCATTTAGCCTAGGGACACTTACAA